ACGAGGAGTTCTCAGACTCCGAGGATGAGGGAGAGGGCGGGAGGAGGAACGTGGCCAATCATAAGAAGGGTGTGAAGCGAGCTCGGATCGAGGAGGACAAGAAGGACGCGGAGGAGAAGAAAGTCGGTGAGTTTCCGGGGCGAGTCGCTGCTTGGTTTGACTCCCACATTCAACTATGAAATGGGCGCTGAGCCACTAACCAACTCTAGGGGGCTCAAAGAATCCAGGGGTCAATAGTTTATTTAAAACAATAGTTTTTCTTGCATATTCAGCAGTTTGACCAAGAATCATTAGAATGTTTCTGTAATGATAATACCTGATTTAGATTGTGACGACTTATAATGAGAATAGAATAATGTTAGCGCTGTAAACTCCAGTTCTGGGTGCTTGTGTCCCATCCCTGCCCCGTGTGTGGAATTCACATGTTCCTCTGGCAGGGTTCCCCCAATTTTGGCAGAATACATTTCCATGACTTTTCCAAAACTTTTCCAGTACCATAAGAAAAATTTCCAAAACCCACGAGTTTGCTTTGATTTGATGATCATGCAGTTTCAGATGGTAATACTACAATTTTCGGTATGATAATAGCCAATCTGCTTACCAAATAAACACAGACGGTGGACAACTGTCGCCAATGTGCAAATAGCATTCAAATATTAAGAGAATTAATCCCAATATTAAAATAATTATACGTACCTTATGATTGGTAGAGGCAAACAGAGTCAAAAACAAGAACCTGTGATCAATAAAATTCAAATACGTGCAAAAAAATAAATAAAACCATAAAAACTGGAATAGAGAGCAAAAAAGCAGCGATGTGAAATACGCGAAATCTGCGCAGTAAAAGTGCTGGAAACGGATGTTTACCAAGGCAGTTTACTATTGACTTCTGCTCATATATTTCCAGTAGCTCGTTGCAGAACGAAGCAGGAAACAAAAATGAACAAGGCTACTTTCCAAAACTTTTCCTCTCTGTACAAGAATTCCAAAACTTATCCAGGGCCTGGAGAAATTATTTAAAAATTCCAAAACTTTTCCAGGTTTTCCATGACCATGGGTACCCTGCTCTGGTCCTAATATCGCCCCATAGTGTGTGATAGCGTGTGAGGGGATGTGACGTAAATTTCGTCATCAGGGGTTGGCTGCCGACGGCTGCGGTCATGCGTGTGTAGCCCAGATTTTTGTCTAGTGGAAACTGTACATCTGTGTGCACTGACTGCACATGTGCAAGGTAAATGATTGAGTATTTCCAGTAGGTGGCAGCATGGACTTTCACAGATCAGCAGTCAACAACGAAAGAGTAAAGGAAGAATAGTTGCAGTAGTTGTGATTAGCTCTATTAGGAGGGTGGTGGAATAACACTGCCGGATGCATGCATCGACTGCGACCGGATGCATGCATCGACTGCGACCGGATGCATGCATCGACTGCGACCGGATGCATGCATCGACTGCGACCGGATGCATGCATCGACTGTATTATGCCAAATGTATTATGAATGCAAGTTGTGGTGCAGACTTAAGTTCTCCAGCCCAACGGCACACGTGAAAAAGTGAAGTATGAACTAGGTTTAAGATTCACTCCACACTCGCCATGGCCTTGTACTGTTTTCTATGGAGCTCTGTGTTTTTATACAAAGCCAAATGCAGCTTACGCTCAACTAATACAATTCTGTCCAGCCAAAGACCTACTAGTGCGATAACTGTAACGTCCCCAGCAGCAGACAGTGAAATACATCAGTGTGATTGAGACCGCAGCCAAGCATGAGGGCATTGATCAGCCCTGCTTTGCTTATGCGGCCTGGCATTAAATGCCACAGACTGTCTTACGAGGACATGACAGTCCTGAGCTTCAGACGGTAAGCAAGCACTTCGCCACTTAGCTGGATCGATGGTGCTTATTCCAGCGTAAAAATCAATAGCTAGTGTGATGTCACTGGCCATGTCTCTATCCATGACATCTGTTGCGTCGGCTGCTCCTCTGACATCAGCATCGTTGGCTTTTTCTGATCTGTGTCATCCAGTGAGCTAGTCTGTGTTGGTGTTCATGTGTGTGGCACGTGCATTTATTGATACATGACACTTACAGGACTCGCTGTGATATACTTTAGATCATAGGTTCCAAAACTATTCAGCCCATCACCCCTAAAATAAAAGTGCTAGAGACTCATGATCCCCTCTAGATTTAACCTAGTGGTTTCCAGACATTTTTTCACAGTGTGAGCTACCAAGTCCCCATAGCAGTACAGTGGTGCAAGCAGGTTCCAGGTCCTGTCCTGCTTTAGGCTGTAGACGGGAACACATTGGGGGTGAGCGGGGGGTCTTCAGGCGGGTGTTGAAGGAGAGCTGAGTAGACGTGGGGTATCAGACCATGAAGGATGAACATTTAGGCTGAAATTATGTCAACTGCAGAAAGCTTTGCTGTTCATGTTCAGGAAATGTTGCACTAAATAATATCTGTAAAGTGAACTTGGGAAATACTAGTAAAATGAGTCATTCAGAAGTAAGAGGACACATTATTGAATGTACTTTCAGCACGATGACAGCATGGCCTTCTTCTAGACTAAGGTGAAAAGACAGATGAGTATTTGAGCCGTCCCATTGTAATGAGTTTTTCCCGAATGCAGAGGTAAAAGAAGAGGAGAAACCGAAGGACAGCAGTTCTGAAAAGGCCGACACAAAAAGGTAAGGTCTGAAGTCTGACAGGAATTAAAGTAGGTCAGCCGTGTTTTCTTGCCAGTCCCCAGCCCTCTAAACGCATAACTGAAGGTGCAGAACTTAGAGGCCCAGGCGCCGGGGAGACATGTTGAAAAGTATCAGCGTTCTCCATCAGTTTTTCTTGACAGCATCAGCTCATTTTGTAGGCAGTTGAAACCAAGAGGTACACAGAAATACCAAGTTACTAGAGCAAAAGTGATGGAATTGGGTATGAAATATTGAAAGAAAGAGAAATTTGGAGGTGATTGACGGTACGCTTGTCCTGTGGGATGACCTGTCTGGTAAACTGTCATACTCTGAATGGTTGAGGATTGTACTAGATACCAAGGTGCCTTGACATGAACGTCAGATTGAGAACATCCCTCAAGGAAACTGCAGCCACACGTGGATGTAATCTTTAGCACAGAAAGGTGTTACCTGTTGATCTTAAACTGAGTTGATATGTTACTTATTTAATTTTTATATGCACTGTGGTTAGACAATAGTGCACAGGTTAGATGGAAACAGCATGACTCCAGCTGTAAATAAACTATATGGACTGAATGTGAACATCAACAACATCTGATGGCTCAGGCCCTGTGGATGCTACACTTCATTGTTTGAGTTTTGACTATAATTGGGTCACTTAGGCTGTTTTACCTCGTGACGAAATATCTTAGGTCAAATTGGTTTTGCAGAAAACACTCTAATTTACCTACCTATTACGCACACGGGTGGCCAGTCCAAAAGGTTCGAAGCCCTTCTTCTCAGTTCTCAGTAATAGCGGTAGCTTGTAGGGGTATACAGTGCTAACGTAATCTGTCAGGACTATGCCCCTCTCCAGGGGCGTAATGGATGACCACCAAGTACAATGTTTGTTGCGTCAATGTATATTTAATTCTGTATAAAAACTGACCTCAGCCAGTCAACAAGACTTATTCATTAAATTAGGGTCAGAAAGGGGCTTTTGAGGATTTAAAAGGTGAATGTAGCGCTTGCATGACCTCTGCTGTGTGTCCCGCCATCAGTGTTAAAGCTGAGCAGACGAGCAGTGCCTGACCAGCGCCATCAGGACGGCGCCCCCTGGATGTCGGACGCCGCGTCACTCCACTGATGTATTTATTTGCTGTGCTGTCATAGATCTAACATGTTTGTCCATCGCAGCTAAATTACTCATGACTGTTTTATACTGGCGAATTTACTGAAGGAAATCAGTATTTCCTTCATGTTACTCAATTTTCAAAAACATTTTCTATCCATTTGTATTTGTATGGTTTTTTTTTTTTTTTAGAAAATGTTTTTTAGAATGAAATGTTGACTTTGATATTCTGAATATGCACATTAAATGTTTTATACTGAAATATTTATTTCTTCCATTTTCTTAATGTGACCAAAATCATAGACGTCTTTTTGGCATGTAAAACGTATTATTTGTATCGCCCACAAGAGGGTGCTGCATGGTTTTGTTGCATTTAACAGATTTTTAATGATGCCTGCGATCAAGACCTGTTGGAATTTCAGTTGTTAGGTAGCGAACTTGCATGATATTTGGAATGGAGCCTGCACAACTGAATTAAATTGTGAATTAACAATTGATAGAATTTCCCTCAGTTTTCCCAGCTGTACTTGTCAGTCTTATTCCATCTCGTTCCATTCCACTGTCAGCAGATTTTATTTCTCCATTCCACCACCTCCCCTTTGACCCTTTGGACAGTTATGAAAGGGATTTGGAGTTTTATATTGGCCAGAAAAGCACTTGAGAAAATATTGAGTCACTCATTGGTCCAAATATTTTCAGCTGGTCACCTATCTTTACGTAGATTATGCAGAAATGTGCTGGCTGAAGGTCTGTCCTGTCGGCAGTGTTGAAGTGATTGTAGGGGGTTTGCTGTGAGCCCTTGGTCTGTTGGTCATGTGACTAGTGTCACTGCCCCAAAGCTATTTGGGAGACTGAGCATGGCTGCCTAATGGCAAAAGCGCCACAGTATCAATCAAACTCCCCTTGAGAAACACGCATGGCTTTCTGCCACTACAGGCCTGTTCCTCACTTGCCCATCCCAAGAGAAGGAATCACGCCATTACTTCCTGCATTCTCTAATTGCCTTTTGTTAATGATTTCCTTTAATGAGGCAACATTAACAGAGAAAATGGCATTGCGGCCCCATGGACTGTTTTGGCGTTCAATAAAGATACTTCCCCAAAAGAGCAAAATCTCTAAAATGCAAGGCACACAAGAAGCTAAACATTCTTTTCATTTTGTTTTTCCAAGAGATATTGATCTCTGTATTATTGCCCATAGCCTCCAGGATTTTAACTAAAATGATCTTTTCTGAATACTGGCAGGCCAAATTATTATTTTTGTTGTTGTTCTTGCTGCCGATCTGTTAGAACATTGCTGTCCTAAAGTGAATGGATTTGTAACCTGAAACCTGCCAGGAACCTGGTACTTAACCCGAAGCCGTCAATCATTCAGCTAAATGGCTGTTTGTGTACGTAGCTAATCCGTTCTACAGACTATTACGTTGTAGTGCAATATCACGTTGTGCCGTACGATGGCGCAGAACCCTCAAATTTGTCTCCAAGAGGATTGCTTAAAAAAAAAAAACAGATACGTGCAGAAATCTGGCTGTATGAGAAACGTGGGCGTTTGTTGTGCTGAGCTCATTTTTTAAAACGTGAAACAGTGCCTCGTGTGTTTCAAAAAAATAATGGGATATTCGTTTAATTTAATTTAGTGATCTGAAATGAACGGTTATTTATGACATTGACGCGTATACAACGAAAATAATGGCGACCCTGCAATTCATTCGGGAAGCTTGTGCGGCGATTAAAAACCGATGGGCTGCGCGTGCGATGCTGGCGAATGGCTGGCACGCGCCCGACGGACACGTAACGCACGTCTGAGCAGCAGTTGTGTTGATGTATGAGCAGCATGTCACTGTATACAAAATCTCCATTTGTTTGTATTAAATTTACGGAAACCGTAATATCACCGTGTGGTGAGAAAAACAGCTCAGCGGGTCAAAACAGATCCAAAAGCACCCCCACTCCCTCGAGGGTGAAGATATAGGCAAATTCTGTGAGTACGTGACTACATATCCAGTTTTATTATTACGTGCCTTGTGAGGGAATTGAAAATGGATATGAAGGGAATGGCCACCAAATCGATAGTTTCAAATGTGTGCTTTTAAATTTCGTTTCCGTTTTGAGAATGAATTTTCAAACGATGTGTCTTGAGAAAATATAATTACCCATAATCTGCACCATGTGTTACATCTTAAAAACGTGTGTTTTCATGTATAACTGTCTATGAAATGAAAAGTGCTTCCATGTCCTGTACACCATCATTCTTGCTCTGACGAATCATTTAGTTCATTTAGCTACTTGTCGCATTTAGTTGCTTTATAACGGTACGGGAATTTTACGTAAAATCTGAAATTGGGCGCAAGTGTGCGGGTACACTATATTAGCTGCGGCACCGCTGGCGCCATTCTGATCGTGGGAATGCGTGCTCGGTCCTGATTGGCTGGCACCGAATCGGGGTGTCGCGCGAGCAGCGTTTCGGACGCGCGTGATATCACTCACGAAACACCCACACCTGTCACATCATTTTCACCGATTTTGCCTTTTGGCTCGGTATTAACTACTGACCCTGGACCACCACTGACAACTGGAAATAAGGTGCTCTGGCTTCTGGAATTGATTAAGAAGGAATGCGTGCATAAAAATGCAGAGAATACAAGCTTTTATGGGATAATGCAAATCAATCTGAAACAGGCGGAGCTGTCATGATTTGTTAGCTTATGCTGGATATTTAAGAAACTCATATGTGTAAAAACCATTTGCATAAGCTGATTATAACCCAAAACAGACTGTAGATCATGTTTGGTAACCGATTAGGAGCCACTTGATTGTACTGTAAGTCACTGAGCATCTGATAGTTTGCACATATTTTCCCCATAGTGTCCTCCAGCAGGAAAACCAATGAGAATTCAGTTAAGCCCTGCATGTGACAATTTCAGCCACAGTGCTGGGAACTAAGGTCATTAAAGTGTGTTTAAACCATCTCTCTTTAATGCACAAAATGGCTTCACGGTGAATTATCTAACTACAAAAAGTAATTGAGTTTGGGTATGTGACCTGACAGCTGCTTTGAACTGAACAGGCCCAAGCCTCTACCCCCAAAACTGAACTCTAGCGATCATACGATCCCGGCTAGAAAAATAAAACTCACTAAAAGTATCAAACTTCCTGCTTACAATTAAGTCACCAGTGACAATCACACCACTCCCACAATAAAAAAGGACAAAGCTCAAATTTTATTCACATTTATTTTTGCTTTTAGTGTGCTCACAAAATTAGAACACCTTAAGCAGAGGAGTTTAATAGCAATTTTTGTAAGCAAAGTTACATTCCATCTCTAAGTCAAATTGGTCGAAGCTTGTCCAGTATTTACAAAAGAAAGAGACAAGATGCTACACAAACATTGCATCTGATAGAGATTCCTTAAATTTGTCAAAGACCACTGGAAAAAAAAAAAGTTGTTGTAATCAAAACATACCACAGTATATAAACAGTAACCATTCCACTTATCACAGCTTGGTTGAGTTCAAAATTGCTTAAAAGTTTCTTCCAGGATGACTTTGTCTTTTGTTATCTTACAAAAATGAGCAGGGTGGAAAAAAGAGCTGCGAACTTCATGTGCTTCTTGAGATCAAGATTTCATTTGTACAATAATCACAGTTAAAAACACCCCGCCTATACATACTTACACTTTATTAAGGTCATAAAACCAGCAATAAACAATAAAGCCTATACAACGTGTATTTCTACTGATTCACTGACTGGTACAGCTAATGAGAAGTGAAAAAGCTATGATCTTTAAAATGATTTCTAAATCTAGTTCTGGGAATTGTATCTTGTCTTCTCCAATAAAAAAAAGACTTAGTGTTGTACACTGCATGGTACATAGGCTCCTGTAAGATCATTAAGACTATCCTTTACACCAACCTGCAGCATGTCCCACAGGCACAAAAGGTGCCTCATTCAACCCACCCCCTGATTTACATATTGACTGACCACCCACCTTCTCCATACCATGGGCATGTCCATACATTGAGAAGTTTACAATTTGCAGAAAAAAAAATGGAGGGGGAAACATTTAATACTGATGCAAAAAAAAAAATGTGGCAGAGTGTGGATGTGATTTTTCCCCAAGTTACTTAAGCCACCCACCTCTCTGCCCCATGGAATGGTAGCAAGCATGGAGCAAGATGGGTTTTGTGGTGTGTGTGTGTGTGTGTGTGTGTGTGCGTGTGGGGGGGGAAGCAGGGGTGTAGGGGAAACAAAAGAAAAGCTTTAAAATATCCCTGGATGTAGACAAGTTCTCCAAGGCCAGGATCTGGCACCACTCCGACATACAAACAGGGAAAGTGTCTTTGATTATCTTTTTCCACCTTTTAATTTTTTCCTCGTTTCCTCAATTTCGTGTTTGGCACCTCCACCTTTACTCAGCAGCTGGAGCTCCTGGACTGGGCACAGCCTCCTGGGTGGCCGGTGCCGGCTCCTCTGCCTTGGGCGCCTCCGGCTCAGCTGGCTTGGTCTCCTCGGTAGCTTTCTCCTCCGCGGGCTTCTCCTTCGGTTCCTCGGCAGTGGGCTCCGTCTTCGGCTCCTCCGCAGGGGTCGTCACCTCCTCGGGTTTAGCTTCCGGTGAGGTTGTGGTCTCCTTAGCCTCCTCGCCTGTGGCAGGTGTTGCAGCCTCCTCCGCTGCGGGTTTGGCCTCCTCGGTGGCATTGGCCTCCGGCTCCTCCTTCTTTGCCTCCTCCGTGGAGGTGGCAGTAGTCTCGGCCTCACCCTCTGCCCCTTCAGTAGTCTCCTTCTTGGTCTTCTTGAAGGAGAATCCACTCAGCTTGAAGGACTTTTTGAAAGAGAATCTCTTCTTCTTCTTCTTAGGGGTTTCGCCGCTGGTGGAAGGTGTGGCACCTTCCTCCGTCTTGGCAGCCCCATCGGCCTCGGCGGCTGGGGCAACAGCCTCTGTGTTCTCCTTGTCCCCTTCCTCTTTGGCTGCCTCAACTGTTGCTGGCTGCGCCTCCTCCTTTGGGCTCTCCTCAGCTGTAGCGCTACCGTTGGCCTGTACCTCTTCCTTGCCTGCCTCTGCTGCAGCAGAAGAATCTCCATTCACTTTCACGTGCCCATTCTCCTGTAGAAAAAGAAGCGTTTAATGTGTATGCAAAACCCATCTTTAAATGCCAGGCTCTACAGTACCACCAAGTAACAGTAGGGGCAGTAGACACCACAAACCGGTGGTTCAATTCAGTTCTCAACCCAAACCCCTTCAGCTCCTTTCACAGAAGAAAGTTAATGTTTAAATTGGGGATAGTCCGATTCATAATTAATGCAACAATTGACGGTCGTTTATCCTCCTCTTTAAAGCGGATTATCCAATCTGGAATCTCCATCTGTAAAGCCACAGATGGATGTCCGTGCCTCCTCTAGGGGGCGACCTAGATCTGCCAATAGTGCAGCGCCAAAACAGAGCAGATGCTCATTAAAACGGCAGATGCTAATTAATACCCCAGATCACGCAGCCTTCACTTAAAGAAGACTTTTCTTGAAAATTAAAGAGAGGCTAACAACTACCCATATGATCTTTTATTAAGCAGTCGCTTAAAATGGACAGCTGAAAAGCGACACTAAGGGTAGAGCCCCCCCACACACACTCTGGTTATAATAAGCATCTCTAGCCGTGCATCCGTAACAAAAGGCGTGGTAAACCAGATCGTGGCAAGCCATTGTTACTGTGGCGCTGAACCATCTAACCCGCTGCTCGTGTTCCTCGTCGCTTCATTGGACGCTCAACAAGCACGGTTTCACATTCCTTTCCCCTCAATAGAAAAGTGAAACGTTAAATTCAGCAGTCGGTTAACTTGTCCCGTTTTCTAGTCTTTGGAAAAAGACGCAAGTCAACATTGGAACCCCAGCCGCGCCATCAAACGACGCAGCAGTCGGAATCACACGCTCAACACGCGGACACAGTTCATAAAACGCTTTTTAATACTCAAAGGTATAACACACCAGTCAACTGTCGTGTAAATTTCCAAATAACGGCCAGAAATTCATACAAAAACTGTGAACATTCTCCAATTAAATCGAAGCATCGACCGCCGAAATAGACCCAAAATCCTCAGTTAATTGTAAAGAAAGCGTGGTTCAATCCAATCCGCGCTTAACCGGCGCGCGTCTGGAGAAACCTCCCCAAGATAACGCGCGGAGAGCGCACCATCACACAAAACCCCCAAAATATTTTAATATTAAAAATCGCGTAAATCTTGTACAATCAAACAGCTTTTACCTGCCCATTTGTCTTAGAGGGTGAAGCAGCCGCTTCTCCCGGCTTTTCAGCTGCGGTTTCGCCTTTTGCAGCGGTCTTGGAGAATTGCGCTCCCATGCTTTCCGTCCAACAAAGAAACTCAACTGATCCAAAAACACGAACAAAGACCACAAGCCTCTTTCCTATGAGCAAGGTCTGTACAGGTGCCCCCTTTGTAAAGTTTATTCTATAGGTAATCAATGTCCAGTCGCAGTGATCAAAATGGGAAATTCGCAAAAAAAACCCTGCCAAGTTAAGAGAAGTAATAAAAATCCCAGATTTGTGGCTGTGTCGCTGTAGACAGGATGGAAAATGGAGAAATTTCCCTTGTTGCTAATAAGATGCGGAGTCCAACGCCCAAGTGCACAGATGAATGGGCATTCCGGGCGGTGACGCAATTCCCACTCTGAGCCAGCCAATCAAAAAACCTCCGTCAGAAAGAGGGCGAGGTTTCGATTGCTAGTGAACAATGGAGCAAAGCAGATTGTTACAAATCTGAAAAAACCAACTTGTCCCGGCAACATTTTCCCAATTAAATGATTAGTTAAATGCAAAAAATATTTATTAGGCACACTCAAATATGTCATTATTAGAAATGCATCTGTTGAAATGAATTGTAAAATAAGTTATTCGGATTTACAATACGTTTCATTAATCGTCGAGAAAACCGACTCCATTGTTTTAATTGCTTAATGGTCGTATGTTTCGTC